TAGTCAGCTATATAATAAGAACAGGACCCTGGAGAATATACACACACACACAGGTAAAATTTAATAATCCAATATCTTTAGTTTTTCAACGAGAAAATAACGGACATGAAAAATCTAAGCCCCTCCTCATAGACATTTACATTTTGCATCTTACTTTCATGATTCCATTTACATTTGACATCCAGTAATATGCGACACAAGCTCGCCGTCGGTTCAAATAGTGCCTTCGCCAGATGGATGGGGCTTGTGTGAGATTGATAACATTTGAAACCTCTGACCTCGGCCCCCAGAGCACGAAAAGCCTGTCTGAGCTTCTGAAATGTGGCTGCAAACAAGGGGTGTTCTGGCAGATGTATAGTGAGCGAAAGCCAATCTACCCTGTGGGGGGGACAGGGGGGTGACAACCTCCCGCTTCCCGTACCCCGTTCCTCCCGCCTCCCGTGCCTTTTTTGTTCTTTTGTCTCCTGACTCCCGCCCTTTATTGTATTTTTCCCGTCACCATGTAAATTATAAAGACTGAAGCCCGGGTTTAGTGTTAAATCGGTAGGGTAATTTACCAAAGATGAAATTGTTACAAGTCAGTTTTCTTAGTTAAACTGACTTTTCACTAACCTGGTTATCTAGGTTTGACCACCGCTTCTTGACATCCCACTACACAGCGACAATAGTCTCAGTTCACTGTGCAGTGTAATAGCTATTGCAGTCATCAAAGATGCATTAACATGCATTTAGGAATCCCGAAATTACGGGGATCATGCCAAAATGAAGTCGAAGGCCAAACGTTACGGTAGAGTTCAGTACTCCTGTCTAGTTCCCAGCGTCTAATTGTACTAATTGCATATCCACCGCGGTTAGTTTTCGTTATTTTCGTAAGAAGTCGTAAGCTATAAAACTGACTTCAACGAGACAATAATTGCATGTTCGTTAACCGTTTGCATTTTAAAGCGTTCAGTTTAGTGCTGGTGGAGTATTATTGTTATCTGGTTATCAAATCTCAAACCTATTCATATTTGCTCGAGAAGTTGTATCTTTCATCAAACATCGGCGGGGAGGTTTAACGGTTATACATATATTTTTACATCGGAATGATGCACCCTTGTCCGATTTTTAACCATTTTGTGCTCGACAAGTTAAATAACAGGACGGGGAACAGGTTGCAATATGTGTAAAAAGTGCCCGTATTTGCTACAGTAAACAAACTAGAAAAAAGTCTTCCATGCGCCGAGGAGGTCGCACCTGATCTCCTCCTACTCCAAATGTTAGTTAGAGGAGTAAAGTCTCTCCTCTTCCTCCGAGTCGAGGGAACGTTTCTAAAATTACACTGCAAAGTGCTAGGAAATGACACCTACCGTGCAGTTCGTAATCTTTTGTTATTACTTTTTCTTTGTTATCTATGAAGTCCAACCGGACAGCGTCCCACGCTGTTTGACTTCCCCTATTCTAATAGGCAGTGCTTTTGGCCTTATCCAAAACAAAAATTGCGTTGTATATCTAACCACCCGCATTTCTCCAGCGCGTTCAGTGAATTTGCATTCGCTGGACACAAGTTTGCACCACGCCGTAAAAATCTTTAGTGTTTTGCAACTACAATCGTACGGGAGCGAGTCCAGGAAGGTCTTCCATGTACGGATTTTTCCACACCACACCGAAAATACTTAGACCGATTAAAGTGGTCTTTCACGACGACATTTTATGCACCTATCAATGTAATGCGCCGGCGGGGGAGGCAGGGCATAGGGTGGGGATTTGACTTTTTCAAAAATTTGCAATCAAATTCCTGCCCACGGGCAAATCATTCCAGTCAAATGCAAACCAAATTTCCCCACCCCAAAATGCTTTTGTGCTGTCAGTCCCAAGGCAGAACCTAAGAAAGGCACAATAAAAATAAAAATAAAACTCTGTAATCTTTTTATAAACGTTGCTGCATCACCAAAAGATACATGTTCCTGTTACAGCTGCAATTATACGCTTTAACCATAATCCGTGTCACACAGGGTAGAATACATAAACCTTTGGGAAAGTCCACATTTTTGTAAGTCTAGATATACCGTTCTTAAAAAGGGTACAAACAAAGTCAGTTTTATCAGTGATTGTAGCGAACAGGCCATACACTAATCAACTGTACTTGCAAAATCGGCTCGGTTTCTCCTTGCGCCGTTTACTTTGGATACCACATTATATTAACAGGTTCAATTGATCAAAACACCCTAAACAAACGAAATTTGAAGACAAAACAGTGAAGTCCACCTCAGCCTTCGCTTGCTCTCATTGGCCTCCCATGACTTCCTGATCTTTTCAAACCGTATGGCGCGTGCGTGAAGCGCAGAAGTGGAAACACATGTTCGGTCTCAGTCTTTTTCCATGAGAGTCGGCAGTCAAATATCTCCACGTCGGGCGAAGAAAGATTCAATATCCCTCCCGGGAGAACAAGGTCAGTCAAATGCCCTACCCCAGGGACAACAAAGAGAATCAAATCCCCCACCCTATGCCCTGCCCCCCTTCGGCTTTACATTTGATAGGTGCATTACCTGCGAGACAGGTCAAACAGACGAGACACTGACACGACTTACACAGTCGACACACGTGTACATGTGTCACGCACCTCATTCATGAGGACTCGTGACCTATGATGTAAACTGACTTGAAAGGTTTCCAATTTCACCAGAAGTAATGCTCTTTTTCAATCCCGATTGCGAATTTACGTTTTTGACTTTTCTCGCATTAAAATTTTGATTTAGGGCCTCGGAGAACGTTAAATGGAAGTCAAGAAACGTTGTTGAGTTCGTTTCTTTGACTGGATGATGGGCAGTAACAATTAACGAAAGCTTGCCTTTTGAATTTTCTCCAGCTTCCCGCCATCATAGAGATCCTGCTTCCCGGCCCTTTCTTCTCCTGTCTCCGTACCCTCCTGCCCCTGTGTTCTCCCGGGCTCCCCCTGTCCCCCTCCACTACCCTGTGCAAGCTTATGTCTATGTTTTGAGAATGCTTCAACTCTTAAGATATATGGTACAACACTTTGAAATGTATATAGACAGAACCTTTACAGATTTATGGAGAGACTTTTTTGCATAGACTAAAACGAGCTGCCTAGGTTATAAATCAACTATTTGATTGCCATACTTCTGGTACACTGATTAGGCTAAATTACGTATATCCGTTTTGTAATCCATACATTACATCGTAAACTATCCTTACTTGTATGCAGTGGCCTTTCAAATTCCTCAAATTCCTACCGTGTCCCAGTCTAAAAAGCTTATTTTTATTATGTCAACTGTAATAAACCTCCCCCGGGAAAACAAAAGTGAACTCAGAAGTCTTATCTGTCTTTTACACATCGAGTTCATTAAATTTGCTTGTAATATTTTAAAACACATGCCACTAACTGTAAGTGCCCTAAGTCTTCAGTGATGTAAGAATGTTTTCCTTTATCCTCCTTCTATTAAAAAGTGACATTTTAGTTAATGATTAAAAAAACGTGAAAAATGTCGGAAACTCGGTTATTGCTTTGGAAACCACCCAAAGATGTTTTATTTTAGTAACACTTAAACGAATATAAGTCAACAAAAAGCAAGTAAATCTAAATTTCAAGCTTACAAAAGGTGCTGAAACTGAAATGCTTGTCTCCCCCCCCGGATAATCGGATCATTAATTTGGTACCCCTTCTAACCCGGTCTAGTGGGGTATATTTCTTTTGTTTTGTGTCCCCCAGAGCATGAAAACAAAAGAAACCAACCCCACTAGACCCCCACTCCATGTAAACAGGCCCTAAATTTGTTTACGATACCCTAAAGAGCATCTGCGTCAAATTTGGTGCTTTCTTCCAGTCTCAGTAACGATATTTCCTTCAAACCAAAGCACTGCTACCGATGCGTGTATTTATTTCCTGTCAAAATGCGCTCCGATAATCGCATGTTAACAAGGCAAAGCTTTCCAGCCCACTCAACTGGAAAAGTCAACAGACCGTCGGCTAAAGTAAAGGCCATCGAGAGTTAACGAACTTGCTCTCCGTTTTATTGGGTTGCCTGTGAACGAACAACATGAAGAGTCTGGGAACGACCCGTAACCCTGACACGATTCAAGACATGATACCGACTTGTTGTTGTAGTATACGCAAAACACTTTTTATCGAGGAAATTTTGGTTTCTACATTGATTTTTGCCGCTTTCTAGGATGAATAACTCGTTAAATATATATCTAAGAAAACTTTGGCCAGAGGAATGACCCAGAAGTTCATCGTTTAAGCCAACTCCGGGTGAAGGTGAGATAGTTTGCAGTTTCCTGTTTGATGAGGTTTGGGTTTCATGATTTGATATCTCGACGGTGCCATTATGAACTCAAGTGATGCTTTCCTTTATCATTCCTTGAAGGCCTTTGAGAATATTTAGGAAAGCAATTTTACACTAGTCACTGGCACATTGTACAGTGTACTGCAACGAGAGCATAATTAGTTTGTGTACTTGTAATATTTCGTCTTGAATATTGGCAATTCACCAATTTTGCGGCCGCTATGTTCTTAAACACTTGAAGTGTTTTAACACAATGGGTATTTTTATTTCTTTAATTTCACAATAATTGCTAAGGAAAAAAGACTCCTAAAAGTCTGCCTGTTGAATGTTACTTGACAAAAGCATTCAAAATAATTATTTGTCATTCTGTGGTTGCAATATTTTATAGTCTATAGTTTACCGTCTTTGATTAATTTGATGAGCTTGTAAGCTTAAAACTCAAATTAAAAACTTATTGCAGATAGCTTCCCGTGAAAATATTGGAGACAAAAAAAAGGTAAGGGTAAGATGATTTCAGCTGAGGTCGAATCTCCATTCACTTTGTTTCTTTGATTAGTACAGCTGTATATCTTTCTTAAAATTTATACATTTATAATTTTATACTGTACATCCAGTCACACATGCATCCATGCACATGTTCTCAGTCCAGGGATTTTTTTTAAGCAATTATTTTTTGCTTCTTTTTTTTTCCTCCTAGACTATGTGCTCCTTCTCATGGAGGGGAGTCTTGCAAGGGCTAAATACAGTTTCCAATCCAGCAGTCCAGATGAATTATCTGTACCCGAGGGAAGTATCATAACAGTAACTCAATACATCAACAATCACTGGTTAGAGGCTGAATATAAAGGCAAAAGAGGATATTTTCCTATAATCTATGCTGAAAGGATAACAAATGATTCACAACTCCATACTGAACAGAATGCTATTTTCTCGGTACCATGTTTAAATGGAGGAGAACTTCCAGAAAGTGTAATACCTGATAACTTTCATCATCAGGATTACTCTTCAGGAAAACAAGTTTCTCATAGCAGTAGTGAAAATGTTGTTGAGGCTGCATTTGGGTTTGATGCCAGAAATGACACTGAACTGACATTTCCTTCTGGGGCTCTGCTTGAAGTTACTAAAGATGTTGATGATGATTGGTTAGAAGGATCGTTCAATGGAAGGACTGGTCTTTTTCCAAAAAGCTATGTCAAGTCATCAAAGAGACCATGCGCGCGCGCATTGTATCCTTTTGTTGGGGAAAGCATAGGCGAGCTCACATTTCGTGAAGGTGACTGCATATTTCTTCACAAACGATTAAATTCACAATGGATGGAAGGAGAAATTGATGGGAATGTAGGAATTTTTCCTTCAAGCTTTGTCATAGTTGAAGTTGAATTGCTGCCTGACAAAGATGAATTTCTAAATGGGGATTTTTCTCCCAAGAATTCAAGTCCAAAACATGGCAGCCATATTAATACTGCAACGTCTAAGATTCAATGGAAAGTAGGAATGAAAGGTAGAGCACTGTTTCACTTTTCAGCACTGTATTCAGGAGATTTAGAATTAAATAAGGGAGATATTGTTAGAGTTCTTCGTGTAGATGGTGACAATTGGATAGAGGGTCAGCTAGCTAATGGCATATCTGGATCATGCCCTGCAGCATACCTGGAGCCTGTAATCAATAAAAGCAATTCACCTGAAAATCACTGGAATTTCAAGACTCAAAAATTTACATCTTGGGAAGATTTTTCTGGTTCTCCTCACGTTATGTCTAATTCTGTTAATACTAGTGAAATGTCAAAAAGTTCCAGTCGAGTTTCATTTAGTCAACAGGGTTATGATATTTTTGACCGTTTAACGACAGCAGAATACAGTGACAGGTCTCTTTTGGACTCATCATTTACACAGGATCTAACTCCTATACTTATGCCTTGGAATAAGTCACCTCAGGAGTCTAAAGAGGTTGGAAAAACTGAATTTTTGGTGAAACAACCAGCACCCAAGTCCAGGACTCTAGAAAGATATTCTGTTACTTATTTAGGCAATATGGAGGGAAAAAACCGTTCTATAAAACATGATAAAACCAGCAGCAGTCCTTCGTATTCGGCAGAGTCACTGACATGGGGAACTACACCTCTTAGGAGCAGCTATGCATCAAATTCAAAAGCAACTAGTGCTTATAATGGGCTCTCTGGTCAGTCCAGTGTAATAGATCAAGGTCCATCATTAGAGCCTTATCATCAGGGTTCTGTAGGAACTTGGCCAAGCAAAAGATCAGGGATTCATGCTGGATGCACATCCAGTGTCCAAGGGAACTTTGTTGATGATCTTTTATCAGGTAACTGTACCTCTTTGCCTCCTCCCCTGATACCTGGCCTGCAAGGTGCAATAGATGATGATAACATTGATTCCAGCGCATCTGAGGATTCTCCGATTACACCAAGGAGGCCAGCCCCTCCACCACCCAAACGAAAGGACAGTGGAAATGCTGTACGCAGTAGAACACTACCAGGGAGAAGATCAAAGGACACTGCCCAAGGCCACTTCAACTGGGATGCTCTACCATCAGGCAGAGAAGATATGAAAACAACTGTCAATCCTACTGCTTCCCCTAAGGGATCCCCGAAGATGGGAGTGGCAGGTGTTGCAAGGCAAAGGCCACAATCCAAGCCACAATCTTTGGGTAACAAAGATGTAGACACTGATGTTTATGTAGAGAAGGTACGTACACTAGGCAGTTTGACTACAGTACTTTGGGAATTTAATGTTTTTGTTAAATAGCTTATTGCTCTGACATTATTTTGAGCCACTGCTTGCTCTTATTCTTTGTTTGAAGGCCACATGGTAGCATCTAATTTCATCTGACTGTATCTCCAATGTTCTTGTTAGGGAAAACCCAAGGCTCTGAGGAAAACAAAACTAACTTTTTCTCCTCAGCAGCATACATGTACATTATTTTCTTGGTACAATATTCAATAAAGACTAGTGTAATTCAGCAGGAGAGTTCTTGAACTGCAACTGACAGAACTGTATAAATGTCAGGCTACTATACAGTCATTAATTTTACATGTACATGTAATTGAAATCCTGAAATCCCAGTTGCTCTCAATGTACTTCAGATGATGATGTCTTAGACCCAAGTACTGGTTCAATTTCTTCACTCTTTATAAATTATTGCACACATATTGTAGATGAAAAAAATGTATGTGCTCAAGTTACTAAAAGTGATTCATGTACAATTTTAATCATGGTGGAACATTTAATACATATATGTATTTTTTCTAATTTATTATAATGATTTTAGAGTCCTCGCAGGCTAAGACATTCAAGCAGCCTAGAGCAGATTAGACAGTCCCCAAGTCAAAGCACTGTAGCTGCAGTTATTGATAGTGATGCTCATGGTGCTGAATGGGCTGGAAACAAGGGTATGTACCATGTATAACTAATGCCCCTCTACAGTTCCTAGTTTTTTAAATGAAGAGACTCCATGTTGCCATGTGTCTGTTCAGTAATAGATCATAGATGACATCACGGCTTTCATGGAATCTAAATTCATTTTATACAAAGTCACCAAAAGACAAAACAATGACATGTACTTGCTTGTACCTAACCTCATACTGTTTTTTTTTTTTTTTTTGAGGCCTTAACCTGCTCAATCCAAAATAATGATACGGGTAGACAATTTGTTTTCATCAGGCTTGGTTGGTGGTGCCTGCTGTGGATTGCCTGCCGTCTTTCAGTCTTCCGGAAGATAATCTTGACCCCTTCCCTGTCATTCTTAAAAATATTCATGGCTAAATCAATACATGTAATTGTGCAAACATTACTGCTGAGTTTGTAACAATTCACTGTGCTGATATGCAGCTTGAATCATTACTGTTGTTAGAAAATTCATTTGATGAAGTTGATGGCCCCAGATTAGCTTCCCTGCAGAAAAGGATCGAAGAAACAGAACAAAATCTTAAGGTAAGTATCATCTGCCAATTAAGAAAGTTCTATACTGACATGCTGATGTATATATACATGTAGAAAATTGCCAGTGAAGGGTTGTTTTTACATATTCACCATGGCCCTGGGAAAAAAGAGAAGTCCAGAGATCATATTGACCCCACACAGCATCTTTTTTCAATGCTGCGCGAGGTAATAAAGTGAATATGTGATCCTCGCAGTTGAATAATTAACAACCTAACGGTTGAAACAGATCCTAAAAAAATTCAGGCTTGACCTGGAATCATTCCTGACCATGACTTTGAGATGACATGATGCAATGTTCTATGAAATGACCTGTAAATGCAACACTACTTGCAGTGTTCAAGGTAGTGTATAAGGTATTTGCTTGACAATCTGTGGTTACAATGTACCAATCTCATACTCTACAGAAAGAGATGAATGTACATACTGGATTCAAGTCTATTGCTCAGGTATTGATTGTTTACAAAATTTGCTGATGTACGGCCTACAACTTTGTATTACTGTTAATGTTATAATTCAGTTTTTAATCCTTGGTTGAATTTTTAGTGTCCACTCATGACATGTAGTAAAAAGGAGAAAAACCCAGGAATAATTAAACTTAGCCTGTTCCAGGCAGACAGGTGGTAGGGATGGTGCAACGAGAAGTGACCAGGATAAAAGAGCCAGAGGGTTGAGTTTGGGGGTGGGGGGTGAGGGGGGGGGGAGCCTTCACTTCATGCCACTCCACTATCTGAATGTCTTGAACCACAAAAAAAAAAATGTGGACCAAAAGAAAAACTCATCATACAACAGATACATTGTAACTTGATGGGAGTTCAGGCTCTTGTGTTAGAGTTTAATTTGTGCCAGATTTTGTGTGGGTTTTCAGAGGAGTTATTACCCAGTCTAGGACTCCCTTACATAAACTCTTTGTCATTATGGTGGTGGATTTCATGGGTAAGATCCTAGACCCCCTACAATTGTTTATTGTCATGTACAGTGTGTTTTCTGCAGAGCTCAGCCTTTATTTCAGTCAATTCTATGCTCAGTGCAAGTGCCAAGACACCTTCAAATTGCATATTAACTTACGTGCCACCACTTTAAGAATTATTTTTTTTCCTTTTTTTATGTCTTATCAGTAGTCAGTGCCACATTAGAAATTGCCTTTTCCTTGAATTTGACATTGCAGTGTCAATTAATGATTTCAGTTAGTGATGATGGATCCTGTAAAGCAGAGGGAAATGGAAGTTAAAGTGTCACAGAGTCAACAGAAGATCAATGAATGGCATGAGGAATTACAACTTCTGCAAGGTTTTGTCCTGTGTTGTTGTTTTCTTATTAATTGATAGCGAGGTGCGTGCAGCAGAGCACCATCGGTAAGAAAATGTGGTTATCTATGCATTCAAGTTTTTTGGTTCCGACAAAATCGTCTGTATGTACGTACCTCTACTCCTTCATGTAAGCAGGTGTGAAATGGGACACTTACTAGCTAGGAGTCCAAGGCATATACTCTCTTTGTTTAACTTGGTGTTGCATCCATAATTGTTATGGTCAATTGAAAGCTGTCAGAAAAGATTATCCGCTGACCAGTGTCACATGACTGTATCACGGGCTTAGGTATACAACTCTGAAGTGACATATTTTTTAAAGTTATTTCCACTGACTAGTTTTTGGTTTTCAATTGATCGTGGGCTCAGGTCCAATTATTGTTTTTTTCTTAAAGGAAGAATACAGTTTTGAATTACTTGAGAAAGACATTTCTTAATAATTTATGTGCCTCTTAAATGGCTGTTAATCAATGGAACATAATGTAAGAACTGAAATATTTTTATGGTGAAAGGAATTACGTGGCCTTATTTTTTTGATGCAAGAATCAAAGAGAAAGAAGACCCTAGAAATGACGAGGTTGAAGCTTCGTTTTACTGGGTCACTCATTTCACAAGATTTGCATGACCACTTTTTTTTAAAACTGATTTGAAAGACCTCACATGTCAGAAACTTTTAGTTCCAGCCGGATTTGTTGAAATGGCAAAAAAAATGTTAGATAGTCAAAATACTAAGGTCAACCATTAATATTGAAACAAAGACAAAATCGTTACATGTTTGATTTAGTTAGAAGATGGCTTGCATAAGACTTCGCTCATTCTTGCTCAACAGAAAGATCTACGTGTGCTGGACAACCGGACGGGGTGTTATTCGAGGTCTGCCCTAACAAGTACTTTTCATTTCAGATGAGAAAGTCTTTATGATAGAGTCGCATCGGAAAAAGATGTTGAAGAACAAAATAGCTGCTCTTGAGGCTAACCTAGAGGTGCAGATTTAAATACTTTGCTCTTTGATTTTTTTCAACTAGTTGTATCTTTAGTGGCTTTCGCATCAGCTCATGACGGTGCTTGTTTTTTGATGTCCCAGTTGGCCAAATTCCAAACGGTTAGAGTTGGACAGTTATGTGGTACCTCCATTTTTTACATATGGAGCACAGTTTTTCTTACTATAGTTACTTTTTTTTCTTTGATTTAGAAACAAGCCAGAAGTCAGAGAAGTCTTGAAATGTTGCTTGGTGTTGTAGAGGAAAACAGAAAGAAAGAAGTCATGGAGAATCTTGGAGTTTGTGCAAAATTAGTGGAAAAAATCAAAACTGAACTTGCTGGATTAGAGGGTATTTATTACGATACTGTGAAATGCATGACTGTAATCTAAGTGCATTCAAGTACTTGCATTTGTGTGTCTATTTCGGACAGTTTTTCTTGCTTGTTTCATATCGACGCTAACTGAGTGGGATTACGTATTTACGTTTGTTCATCAGTCATCTACTGCACAACAATTAATTTAAATTTTTGTCCGTGTTCAGCTTCTTTGCAGTGCTTAACAGAAAAGCCAGCTGTATCCAATCAAAAACACATGGCTGAGCAGCGACAGAGAGTTGTCAATGAACTGATCAATACAGAGAAAGACTACTGTAATGACCTAGACCTTTGTGTTAAATACTTCCTTCATGAACTTCAAACGATACAGGTTGGTTTCCTCCAGCATTCAGTTCTGCATGTCCGTGATTAAAGTGTTTTTTTTAGATTTTTGAGTTTACTCGTTCACGTCGTAAAAAATCGAATTCATTACAATACAAGCTAGAGGGGGCTTTAAAAATATATCTTTGGGGGGTATTGCCGTATGTATTTTCTTTGTTAACAGGTAGATGGGCCTATAAGTGGGGGGGGGGGGGTGGGGCTTGTAAGTAGCTGGGGAAAGCTTACAAGCGGAAGTTTATGATGGTCTGGAAAAGACAGTGTAAGAACAACATAAATTCAACTCCGCTCTGAAAGCAGCATACCGTTGCAGCTGTAATTTACCTTCGGAAGGCCTGGGAAAACGCTGAACAGGGACCGACTAGGCGAGGCCAAGTGCAGAATGCCAAGCCATTCCTCACTTAGTCTCCGCCTATATCCTGTTATGATCTGCCTCCCCATAAGCAAACCATTTGTTTGATTTTCCTTTTTTTTGGCTCTGTTTTACTTGTTTGTTTGTCTGTAGATGAATCTCTGTTTCTGTTTCGTGCAGGTAAAGGATCTCGATTGTGAAGCTTTGTTTGGAAACATTGAAAGTGTTCTGGAGACATCGCGGAAACTGTTGAAAGGGTTACAAAATGCCGTTCAAACCAAGGAGGGAAAAGACCAGGAACTTGGTAAATATGACTCAGAAATGAACGCATTATATATGGCTAAAGCATATCTTTGGGTTAAATGTAGTCAGTTTGCAAACACTGTGGGGAGTTTGCAACATATTTCACATTTTACTGTGGTTTAAGAAATTTGTTTGGTTAGAAGCTGTACAAACTGTGAATATTTCCATTTTATTTGCCTCAGATTTACAACTATAAACTTAGACAAAGAAAAGCAAAAATCGACGAGCCTTGATGGATAATTTCTTTGTCTTCGTATAGTCACAATACAGATTGTTTAGGTACTAGAGAAGGTTTGTTCATGAAGTGATTATAACAGTTGGGAGATAAAAAGTTAAGCCTACAGCAATGTAGAAATTCATCAATGTCTTTGATGGCTGCTTAAAAAATTTTTATTTCCCCAGGAAAGTGCTTTGTAGACTTGTCTGAAGAAATCAAGGATGTATATGCTGTATACTGTAGGAACCACGATGATGCTATTTCGCTGATGGAAAAGGTGACATTGATATATGATAATTATGCAAACAGAAGTTACGAAAGATCGATACTTACAAGATTTTCCAAACATGGAAAAGTAACGATTCGACCGATCTACGTAAAGTGTAACCAAGGTTAAGAAAGTTATCGAAAGAGGATTTTTTTTTATCACTCTCTAATGAACTTTGTGTAGTAGGAGATTGTCATTTCCTTTTTTTTCTGTATTTATTGTATTTTGTTTATATTTGCAGTACGAAGAAATGCCTGAAATACAGGATGAAATATTAAAATGTTTAGAAAAAATAAGGTAAATGATGTCTAATTATTATGTGTTGTAGTCGAGTGATTTGTACGCTTGCCACTGTTTCAGTACTTCCAGTGGTTTCGAATTGTTTGATGTGTTGTTGTACAAACGTTGTTGACCCGGTTGGCTAAAAGACCATCCAAGCTGCTGTATCTCTGCCGGCAACAGTACAGTATATCAAGGAGGAAATAGGGGATGCATTGGGGAGTTTGGGTGGAAGTGGTGAGGTCATGAGAGTTACATCGCCTCCGATGACCCATTGAGGACCAGCTGAAGATGTCATTGGTTGACGTCACAAGTTTGGTCACTGGCGTATGGGAACGCTTAGGTGGCATTCGAGCATTGCATTAAGGAGTTTGGAGGGAAGGGAAGAGGCCACGGGAGTAACATCACTCACTGATAAGGGGTAGAGAGCCAGCTGAGGATGTCATTGGGTGACGTCACAAGCATGCGCGCTGGCGTATGGGAACGCTTAGGTGGCACTCGAGCAGACGTTGTTTGGATTGGGCTTATTTTCTTATTACTAACTAATTACAGTCAAATTTCTCCTTATGATACCATAACCTTTTTAGTGCTCTTGGTCCCAAAGATACTAAATTTTTCTTCTAATAACATGGACAGTTCTGCAAGCGAACACTTGTGTCTTTGCCCTACTATGGCCCGTCTATTTCCCTGTCAAGGGGGTTAGACTTTTGTAGGTTGGTCCCTTCGCGGCGTGCAGAAAGGACGCGAAGACTAGAGGATGTCTACTAGTTTTGGAAGGCTAGCAATTTTTAAACAACGAACTCCTTTAGGCTTCTTCGTGACTATTGTATTTTTCGTGTTAGTTTTAGCTTATCTGCATTATTTTTTCAGAGAACATACTCGCTGTTGGGACTTGTCATCTTTTCTTATCAAACCTGTACAGAGAGTGCTTAAATACCCGCTCTTGTTAAATGAACTCCTAAAGGTATACTCTTGTTTGTAGTGTAGCATGGTTATGTTAACTTTATGTATTTTTAACGAGGCTATTGGCATCCTTCTCCATTCTAGTCTGCATGGTCTCCATTTTCGAGCGCCATTTGCTAATATAACCGCATGTGCGTAATCGCTTACTCAGTCTGGCCCTTACGAGGGTAAGTGCCCAGTTTTTTTATATGAACGAAGATGCCTTTTAGTTTTATCCTTTGCAAATAAAACTTAGTTTTACTAACTAAGGTTTTGCAAGTAGCTTCGTTTTGAAAGCGAGAGATGTAAAACTCCAAAAACAGCCCATGATTTAAATACCTGTATGACTAAATCTATCACTACTATGAGCTACAAACAACTTTTTTTCTTGTGTTCCATTTTATAGTATACTCCTGAAATACATCGTGATAAGTACAACTTACTACAAGCGATCACAGTAATGACAGATGTGGCTAATGCAATCAACGAGTTTAAACGGAGAAAGGATCTCGGTAAGTTTGTGTTAGAGTAATAGTATACTGAGTGAATAGCGTAGTGTAGCTATTGTTTCGCTTGAGACTGATTGATCATTCTAACTTTATGGAAGTGTGTCTTTACTAGAGTTGGAGACTTACTTGTGTCATAGCGAAGGCATTCCGGATGGTCGCATTCCAATATAGAGGTGTTTTCAAAGCGTCTCCTGTCATGAATTCGAAGCCTCTTGCTCAGCGATCACCCTGGCTAATAGGAAATAGATCGTAAAACATTTCGTTTGAGTAAAGCACGAGAGAACACAAGACCCAAGGAGGCCCATTCTGCCGGTGTCTCCCTCGCAGCCGTTTTTGTCTCGTCACGCAAGACTTCTCCCCAATGTTAGGGAGGAACGTTGCGTGACGAGACAATAACAGCTGTGAGGGAGACTGACTGGGCCGTATTCTGAAATGTTAGCCGTCTCCACCCTCTAACTTGTGGCAGGGAGGGGTGGGAGGCGTCTCCGGATTGGGGGCTAGGACGGCTAAGAATTCAGACTAACTCGGCTGAAGTTTAACCTGATTTTTTTTATCTGATTCTGATGTCGACTTACGCTCTGCTTTCAACAGTTGTCAAGTACAAGAAAGTTGAAGAGAGTGGTCTTACAAACAAGATACAGAAACTAAGCTGGCATTCAGTGGTGAAGAAAGGCACTCGAATTAATCAGAAATTAACACAACTTACAGGGCTCGTGGCACAGGTAAATTTACCTACTGACACGTACAGTGTGCTTTTCATCAGTTCTTAAGTGGAACAAAATAACTTCTTGCATTGTACTGCAATAATTTTAATTTAGTTTCCGTACGGCTTAGAGCTTGAAGTGACCGTTAAACTAGACGATAACGTACTCTGTACATACGCTCAGATGTACGGGATCTTCCGGTAGTTTGGATTCATTCATTAATGGAACTAACGCTACAGTAAACTAAAGTGTCATTTTCAAACAACTAAATGTTACGCTGCTAAACAATTGGTTGTTAAGTAGATCATTATATAGCAATTGTTGAATGAGGCTGAGTAGGATAACACCCACCGAGACTTCACTTGCTCAATCCTCTCAATCGTTATCTCATTGAGGTAATATTTTGGCGGAGTAATATTTCCAAATTTTGCGCGGCTAGCTTTTGTGTAAAGCGGATCTAAATTGCTCATAAATCATTGTCTCTCAAGCACCGCAAGGAATAGTCTCATCAGAAAGGTTCAAGTTTATTTGGATAAGTGCGTTTGATTGTTTTAACATTTGCAGACTGTCGACGAAAAATTCATCGAAGAGGAGAAGAGGTTCCGTGGAGTCGAGAAAACCGTGAAAGCACTTTGGAAAAACGTCTCAACCTACTTGGAAGAATTCGAGGTAACTTTGTGACGTCACAACCTGACCAAAACGTCTTCGCTTATGAGTAATAATCTTTTGAGCCATATAAGGGAAGGTTAGAAGTTCTAAGCGGGCATCACTCTGTTTCGGACCAGCACTACCTCAAAACTGCATTGATTGCAGCTAATCGCAAACATACGAAAAACTTCAAAATATTTATGATGAATACTAGCATTTTCAACCGTCTTTTATCGCAGGAGACCATGGAGTTCCGCCAGGCTTTAGGGGACAATATTAATGACTTCTACCAAGATGCTGCAACGTGTTCAGAAGTGTCCACTTATTATAGGACACACAAGACGATTGGGGAGACTATTCTAAGCAGATTTGTAAGTTTAAATGATATAATTCTGTATAGTCAACTAATGAACGCATAGACGAGTGAGAGTGCGACCACTGTTGACCTCAAACTCGTCTTCGCAACGACAAGTTGACAGCACTTTGTGAAAAGTGCTGGGAACGAGGGTCCAGGGTCTGGCATCCACTTACAAAAGGTCACTCTGACTGGCTCAAGCGGAAAAGGAAAAAAAAAAAGGACAGTTAACTAATTTGCGGATTTTTGTCGTGATTTGTTTGAGTGTTCGCTTAAGAGATGTTATTCAGGAGTTACAGCAAAGACGTTTTTTGAGCGGCGCGCATCAACCGGAAGTGGTCTTTTTTGCATTCTTTGGCAGTGGTTTTGCCCAAATTTTTGCGCAGATTGTCTTTATATACGTAAAAACACTTAGATATACAAATTTGGTAGCATCAAGCCATACTAAAAGGAACAAGGCCTCAGTTTCAGTTGACGTGCGCCGCTCAAAAAAGTCTTTGCTTAAACTCCCAATATACCCTCTGGTCCTCGGAAAGAAAACAGTATCTGCCTTTGCGTAGCCTGCGTAGCAAGTGTTTCCGTGCGGTTTTGGAGCAAAGAGCGAGGAACCGGAGTCAAAGACCGCGTGTAAAATGTCGAGAGTAAAAGAGCGGGGAGGGGTGGGGAAGAAAGGTTATCTTTCCCTTTCGCTTCCCCCTTCGTTGATAGTTTGGCTCTCGTTCCATTTCTCGCGCGGCCAAAATCGAAAGCCCCGTTCCTTGGTCTTTCTTTGCTCCGAAACCAAACGGAAACGCTTGCTACGCAGGTTAGCCTTTGCGTGAGATTACAAATACCCAATCTTTCTTTCTTCATGATTACAAATTATACTCGCTTTGCAATTCATACTACATTAATTGGCGTTCTGTTTCTTTTCATTTAACAGATAGATAGTGTTCAGTTGCAAGTGCTTTCTCCGCTCAATTCCTTGCTCAACTTGTTTCAAGGACCGCAGCGCTTAATTCAAAAGAGAAATGACAAGTGCTTGGACTACGACAGCTGGTCAAACAAGATTGACAAGATAAAGGACAGAGAGAAATTAAAAGTGGTACATATTAGTTGTTGAGAATAATTAATCTTCTAATGAGCTAACTCAGTGACGTAATCGTTAATATTATAGTTTTAGACCGGATAACTGCCCAAACATCCACAGTACAAAACATCTTGCGTTGAACTTTCTTGCAGGACCAACGCGGAAAACTGTTGTCTTTGTTTCTAGGTTAATTCCTGGTCTATAAAAGATTTATTATATGGCCAAAAAGAGAACTTTTTCGTGTTGGACCAACCCGGGAAATCGCTAGTGGGCAAGATAGACCCATCTTACTTCGCTCGGGTAGCCAATGAGAACGAATGACTAGCTTCATCTTACCCGCTTGTGGATTCAGCCATATAATAAAAAGTGATAAGCTTTGACGTTTGTTTTGTTTATTTTGTGTTGTATTTGTTTTTGACGTTGCTTTTTGGTTTTGTTCTTGCTTTTTTGTTTGTTTGTTTGTTTGTTTGTGAGTTTTCTAACAGTGTATGTCCTTGTAAATTTGTAGGCCAAAGAAGAACTGGGGCTTGCCAAGAAAAACTATGAAGCACTGAACACTCAGCTGTTGGAGGAGATCCCTGGTTTTACTGAGAAGTGTATGTCTTTAGTGGTGGACTGTCTCAAGAACTTTGCTATGGCACAGAACCGATTATACTATGAAATTCAACAGGAGTACGAGCAGCTATTACAGGTACCTGTGCTTATTACAGCAATTGGGCTAAGGTGCTTATTTTAGGAAAAAATCGTTGGAACTCGGCCTGTAGCGGCATATATATATGTGAATACAATTAAGAGGGTCCTGAGTGTCGGTTTTGGTCATAGGGGTTCTGCAATGATATTTTCAAAGGAAACGTAATTTTATAGAAAACTGATGGAAACCTCAAGAGTTTATAGCATAAGGATATTCGTAAGAGTATGAGACACTAATGTCATGGGGACTAAGCTATTGGAGGCTAATATTATATGGACTTGGCTGTTGATATATTATCAGTGATTTTGTTATAAATAGTTATGGTGAGTCCTGGGACTCATCTTGTGAAAAATCGTGAGGCCCAGTTTAATAATAAAAAAAGAGTCCGAAATTGAAACTGCTTAGGCCTTTATGTAACGAGACAGTTAATCTGAAGACAGACTCCAAACTCTGTATTAAGTACATGTATACTGAAATAGAAATAATTAAGAGTCCTTCTATTTTGAAGCACAACAAAGACTAAAAGAAATAATGCATCGTTAAACGACAGCCATTTACAACGGCCACAGAAATTACGCGAACGGGACGGACATTTCTTCAAATACACATGTTCAGATCGATCGATTAATCGATCTTTGCGTCCATCCCCATGCCATGAATTATTTAGCGCCTTTGGGGATTTTAATGCGTCAGGGACGCGGGACGCAGAGGTAACAAAATCACTGGATTATTGTCAAATCCGCAGTCTTACAATTTAGGAGTCCTTTGACACGTAACATTTCACTATTTCAGCTACCAGTTGTACAGACGGTGGAAGGTGACATAATTGAGCACCACAGCAAGAGATCTTTACAAGTGATGGAGCAGTTCTCGGACCTGAGTTTTATACCGTTAAGTTTTGTAGCAAAGGACAGTTCTCGCAAGAAGAGGCGATCAGTAAAAAACCCAACGCAACCTTCAAGAGATCAGGTAAATCTTGTAGACAGATAGGCTTGAAACAGGCCAGCTCATTTATATCATTGCGATATACCACCTATCGGTATATTCCAGTCCGAGCAGTCTTGGCGCATTCATGCCTGATTAGTCCGCCTCAATAGTGCATTGACATGCGTAAATGTCCGACCATTTCCCCCGATGAGCGTGTTGCATGAAAGTATGGTGCATTTATTTGCAAAATACTGTATGCGTTTAGCCGTCGCATTTTCCGGTTGAAATATTTTATTGTTTTAACTGCTTAAAACCGTCTCAATTTGCAAATGCTAGTGTCTTTTGTCTGAAGACTAGTTTGGAAAATTCATCCTTGTGTGTTACCTTCCTGCGTGAAAAGTCGCATAAGAGTTTCACGTTGTACTGATAGTGACCGCAAAGAAATGCACCAAGATGCGTCGTAATCTTCCATAGATGTTGTTTTGCTTATCAAACCTATCACCTGTTACTGTTCTAATAACCATTACCGTCGTCGCTCCTCTCCCTATCACTCTTTTCCCACTGAAGGTGGAGTTGACTATGTACACGCGTACCTGTATTTGTTGCTTCTTTCAGGATACCACAGAAGATTATGGGGACAACAAACCCAGTTTGGTGAATTTTAGAGGTGATGAATTTGAGGAGAGAATGCTAAGGAAGCAGAGGCAAGCTCCACCCCCTCCCTCCACGATTCTCCAGCCAACGCCTGCCCCACGACGGCTGAGCAGTGCAGCAAGGCCTGTAAGTCTGTAGGGTGCGGTTATTTAAGGTGTAAGGCAAAAAGTAGCTTCTTACCGACATGTTTCTTTGTTGTTGTTGTTGTTGTTGTTGTTGTTGGGTGGTGTTGTGGTCAATTAGATCCCCGCTCTGTTATGTGTTCCGCACCTTAATTATGGTGGAACTGATTAGATAATAAAGCTTTTGCTTGTTTGTTTTTGAGGCCTTTCATCGTTCTGACCTCAACTGAAAATTTTATTGGCGAAATCTTCGTGCTACTTGCATTCAGGCGTTTACTATTTTAGTATTTTACCAATTTAACTGTCTAAGGAATTTTAACCCTCAAAACTGCAAAACAAAACAAAACAAAACAAAAAAAACTTGGAGGACCCACACTTTTTTTAAGGCCCATTTCAAACAACGAACAGCTTGTGCCAAATTTAGCGGCAAATAAGGAAAATCTATTGTTCTTCCTCACTTGCTTTCGTTCGGCACATAACGTTTGAAACGGGTCTAACTAATTCAGAAGCGTTTGCGTTCAGACGACATCAGTTTCCACTGCTTAGGTCTGGGTCTAGCTTTTTACTTTGGCTTGTAGCTCACTTGATGTAGACTCTATAACAATAGGTATAGTAAGAGGTACGGCTGCATGAAAGCTTCCATTTCTCCTTTCCACCCCCCCTCGGTTTGTCGTTTGACCTCAGTTTGCAGGCCTCCCTATCTCATACTTAACGAAACACAAACAAGAAACACACAAAAAAGCCGCCTTCTACGCAGCCCATCTTTATTGTCATCAGCGAAGTCACGGAAGTTTTTAAACCAACTTTAAAGGTGGATTTTCTTTCTCAGGGCAATAGTCATGCAGGTAGCTCGGACATGGTAGAAGTTATTCCGGGCGGAGAAAAGCTCCACATGGTCGAGTTCAGCTTTGAAGCTCAAAGTGCAGGAGAATTATCCGTGACTGAAGGAAACCTAGTGTCTGTCCTGCGATACTCAGATAACAGCGGTAACCCTGAGTGGTGGCTAATTCAGTGTAATGGTGCCACTGGTTATGTGCCACAAAGTTACCTTTCTCTGCTAGAAGATGCTGCTGATAGTAGCGAAGGAGGTGCAAGTAGTACTGACAATGCCTTCGCAGATGATAGCGTTATTACCAATGAAACGAGTCAGATGGTGGTTACGGAAACAGATCCAAGAGAGGAATGCAGTGTAGCGTTGACTCGCGAGACTAATCCTAAAGCAAGCTATTACGCAGAGTTTGCGTTCGAGGCTAGTAGTGTAGCGGAATTGAATCTTGAAGAAGGACAAGCAGTAGTTGTTTTGCAGAAGCAGGATTTGACAGGCAATGAAGAATGGTGGCTTGTAGAGGCGGATGGACGTAAGGGATACGTACCTTCCAGCTATTTAACGCCGGTTGAAGATTAAAAGCGACAGAACAGCAAATAAAGGTTTAGTGTGCAATAGCTTCTTCACAAGCTAGCCTGGGAAAACAGTCCACATTTCGCGACGCTACCACTGATTTCTTCGGCGTAAACATGACTTCTGAGGAACGAGCGCAGAAATTCCATACTGATGACGTGTCACTACCCAAATCTGGGTAGTGCTACTGATTGGTCTTGCCACTAGGGACATTTCGGTCTGACCGACCAGACCGGTCAAAGTTGACCACCTTCAAAGCTGGTCCCGAATATCCTGGTCGGACTAAACCGAAATGGTTCGTTCCATTTGATGTACCTCCCGAAATTTCCCGGAATTTTGGGTTGAATGGAAAACGCCCAAGAATTTTGCTTACCATTTACCCATACCGTGAACCGACCAGTTTGCTCGTGGAGATGGTGAACAACCGGAGTTTTACGAGGAAACCATTGGAAGCGTCGCGAAATGTCGGCTGTTCCTTTGGCTCAGGCTGGTCAGTTAAAGGGACTACAGAATAGAACTATTTTGAATTCCAATCAAGCATAATCACAACCGATTGCTCCGCAACTCCCTTTTATTTCTAATCGGTTAGGAAAGGCAAAAGTAGTCTTATAGCGCTACCCGAATGTTTTAATAAACGCGTATGACTATGTTACTTTTTTTTAAGTTTGCTGTTTTGTAACTTACAATAAGAAATCATTTGAAGCCTTGAGTCTTGCCTCCGCTGGCAGCGGCATAGCTTGCTTCAACGGTGCGCTTTATCTGTGTAAAATTCTATTCATAAATTATTTCGTGATGTAGATATCAATATGTAGATATCTTTCTCTGTGCTACCTTTATATGCTTATTTTATGATGTAGATATCTTTCTCTGTGCTACTTTTATATGCTTAACTGAGGGGCCGTAAGCCGTCTTAACACTTAAACTGCAACGAGGATTGAGGTGGTAACCTTGATTTCAGTTAAAAAGGAAAGACAATATTTTAGTGTACAGTAGCTTCCATTTGCACTCAGTGCAACCGGGATGAATACTAGCCTGCTAATACATCCACTTCTCCTCGCTCCTCGCCGCCAGGGACCTTTCTCCTGTCGAAATGTCCATAGTGGCGAGGAGCGAGGACAGACGGCTGTATTAGGAGCCGCGCGATTATTTGACTTTTGAGGGGGGTACGGGTGATTTGGATTGGGTAAAAATTAGTTTTCCCAAACCTCTGGTGATAGATTTTTCTCTGACATGCAAAGGTGTAACATTTTTTTTCAGTGTAGGATATTTTTTTTTCCCCAGGTGTTTCCTTGCAATAATTTTTTCCCTCGAAATCAGTCTGCAGGATATTTTTTTCGGAAATCACCCATACCAAACCCCTCCCCTCCCCCGCCCCATCTCAAAAGTCAAATGGTCGGCCCCACAGCAAGCTACGTGAATTTGTAAACCTGGCAATCAGTTCCATAATGATGACCATGACATGGGACTTCCAGATCTTTATCACGAGATTTGTAAAACACGAGTATTACCGTTTTCGTAATAAACTGTTTCTTAAGATATGTGAAACCTCCATGCAATTGTCTCTTCTTCCGAGTAACCTACCAACCTAAAATGATAATAGAAGAAAGGAATAAACACTTAACTAAACTAAAGCACGTTTCGCACGCACATGAACTCTTGCTTTGATACGCGGTCATATTAAACTCACGTTCAACTTTATACTGTGTGCCAAATTAGCGAAAACAACATCTCGCGAATTTTTTTGCCACCCGGGGTTCAACAAGGCAAGCCATCTAATAACATTGGTGGAATTAATGCTGGCATAATTGAATTCACAGTAAAGTTAATTCAAATTTTAAGGAAGCTTGTCTCAACTACTTCTTGTTTAAAAGACACAGGAAAATAGGGCTCAGCCCTTTAAATTGTATATACACGGATTTTCTGTAGCAATTTTTGCAACAAACATAAATCATTAATAACTTTGCCAAGTACCTTCTGCGGTATTTTTAACAAGCAAATTTTGTACATTATAGTTTTGGGCTTTAATTAGTTGCCCACTGCTAGCAATTTAGCAATCACAGGCGCCTGTTCAATAATGCAAACTAGCCTTTTTGAGTTTGTAATAAAACAATATTATTAGCAGGTTCCTCAAAGAATTATTACGATTTTATTCATTTATCATTCTTGTCTTTTCTTATTTTTATTATTATCATTATTTTTGGAGGGAAGGTCCCTGCGATTGAATGTAATGAAAAACCCATTGACTACCCTTTCCATTGGCTGTCAACAAGCACATGAAACATTTAAAAGTAAATTAATGTTTGCGTGTGTGATGATAGTCTGCTTCACAGCCGTTCTGTGTGTCACAAAAACACAAAAACGGCTGTGAAGCAGACTAGTGTGATTAACCAATCACATTAGCAATCACGCCACCCAGAAATAAACAACTGTTATTTCTTTTGTGCACATATCACTTGGCACAGCCAACTCACAAAATCCATGCCAGACGCATCAGTTTATTAGTAAACAAATCAACTAACCAATGTGACAAGATGGATCCCAGTTGCTCAAAAGCTGGACAGCAGTTTTGTAACTGGCTTTGCTAATACTTATCCAGGGGATGTTGCTATCCAACATTTGAAAAACTGGGTCCTGGTGTTTTCAGACAACAAAACTAATCTGTTTTGAAATGTAACCCACACCAAGCCAAGTTGATTCAAATCAAGATGGTTTAGACTGCAAAGAGGGAACGCACGTTTAGTCCATCAGCTAGGGGGGTTGTATGGCTCACTTAAGGGGAACAAACAAAACTTGTGTAGTTGGAGTCCAGATTGGGACTAGATGAGGTCAAGTAAAGTCAGCTATAGCAGCATTTACACTTGGTTGCGGGGCACTGTAATGAAGTAAAGAACTCCCTGGGCACTAACGTGAACACAACCTTTTTTCAAGTACCCACTCCCGCATTTGGGCACTGGAGCAATTCCCAAGTACAAGGTCGAGACCTTGTTTGCGGGCACTGTATTGGCCCCAGGTCCATCTGCGCACACCACTTTGGGAGCAAGGAGCTTGCATGACTCCAGCACGAGCGGCTGCGAAGGAGACTACCTTTAAACTGGCAAAATTATAAGGTGGCACTGTTATATTATAATAATAACAGTAATAATTACTTACACACTTACTGTAACATGTTCAGTGCTCGCATACTTTTCTTTTTATATTAATTCTCATAATTTTTTTACACTGTAATTTTGGCTACAATGGTATATGCGCTCTGATTGGCTGTTTTCATGTAAGGATTGAGCATTACTAGCTGGGTGTCCAAGGCATAGTGGACATCCTTATGGACATCCATGTTATGGTCAATTTGACAGCTGTAAAAAAGGGTATCCGCTGACCATTGTACAACTCACCGGCTCAAGTGTACAACTTATTGAGGTGATGTCTTCTCTTAAAGTTATCTGCTGACCAGTTGTTGGTTTTAATTGATCGCATGCTCAGTTCCAAAATGAAAAAACCACATAGTAAATAACTTATTAACCTCCCCCTTTCGGTCAATACAGGGAAATCTCAGACTTGGGCCTTGATGTATTGACCTCGCTATCACTTGGTCAATACACAACACATCAAGGCCTCAGTCTGAGACTTCCCTGTAATGACCGAATGGACGAGGTTAACTAATAAAGTAGATATTGTTCATGAGTGAGGTCAAGATGGCTGGATATTGGCCAAGTTCTTAAAAATGCAAAGAACAATAATAAATTATTTATTATTGTAAGGATTAAAACTGGTGATGACGATGATGATAAAGATGGAAAAAGCTTCTAGTAACATCGAACTATCAACTTCTAAGAGCATGCGCACTTAAAATTATTGTCAAAAATAATATTCATCAACAAGCAAGCCCTAGGATTTCAATCTGCACGGAGAACGTTTTTCTCAGTTCTGTGTGCAGAGATCGTAGAAACCTATTTGGTACCGTGAAAATTCCAGGAAAAATTTGTGGACTGTTAATCTCTTGTGGAACTGGTATAACACTAACGATACAAGTACATGCAGGTGTCCATTTCTGGAGATCTCTACAAGGATTATTATGCATGCACATAGTTACAGTTTCATGTGTGACTTGGGTTGAAGCTATGAAGCTAAAAGCTTATACGCAAAGAATTTTGATCAGGTAGGATGAATACAGCAGTATAATGATAGGGAATGGTTATGTTGCCGTTTTTCAAGCATGATAACAACACGGTACTGCCATTAACGTGAAATCTAAGAGCTTGGACAAGTGTGTCCCATTTAGGGGTAAAAATTGCTCTGCATTAATGGTACATGTATTAATCCATGACTTCAGTTCGATGGTCTGGTATTTAAGATAATAGTGTAATTATTTAATTTATACAATACCACTAATAGGAGACTGATTCTTAAAAAAAGTATTAAAATAAATTAAGTGAAAATAGCTCAAAATCAATTGCAACTAGCAAACACTACGACAAGTCACCCACTTTTTGTAAAAATCCAGTAAGAGTCATTTTAGCCCTACTGGAAAAAAAAATGCCGCACTGCTCCAAGGAGTTGGGAAAAAGACAGTAGAGACCTTAATTTAGATTCTAAGACTTAGGACAACTACTTAGTAGTGTGCACACATGAAGAAGTGCCATATTGGTGGGAAAACACCAAAGTCGATGTCATTCTACAACAGGTTTTAGCAAAGAGTTAAATCTTGTCATTATAGTCATTCTTGTCCTTGAATCTAAAGCTCTCTGATAACTGACGGAGCTTACAGCAAATACACAGAAATGTCAGCATTTCCCACAGTTGCTTGAACACAAATACTTCAGAAATACTAGAGCACTGCCCTCAAATAATTTACTTAGCTTGCAATATTGCACTGTAAACAATATTGTATAATATTTCATAACAGTCTGAAATAATTGTCTTTGAATTGGGTCATGATTATACTCTACCAACCTATAGAGCTAAGGACCCTATCCTTAATGAATGGATCAAAGCATCCATAACAGTTCTCAAAGAGGCACTGCGGTTTATTATACTCCAGCAGCTTCTGGGGACCACGGACCAGGAAGTGCTCCAAACTGTACGCAATGCATACAATACACTGTTCCTGGTAATCATCACACTCTTGACAAACATAAACACGTCCGGAGGACTTGCCAACAAAGACACCCTAAAAATATATTCAGTTATATCAATCAAATAGATAGAGGAAATTACATGGTCACTCAGAGTCTGAGAAACAAAATTTCTCTATGAGTATGGAAAAATATTTTACAAGTGAATGCAACGAACAAGTGAAATGTTTTTTGCTTGCGAAAGGCACATGGTATAAATTATATACAATAATAATACACATGTTATCTTCGCATATGAAGGTGAGGATAACATGTTTTTTTCACGTGTGAAGATACTCTTTTCCAGGTTAATTTTATGCAAATTATCTTTAAGTACTAAGAGGTTACAGAAATAACATAAAAATACTGATTTAAAAGACTGTGAAAGTTAATGATTATTTTTTAAAAGTTTTTTGGTGTACTCACCATATTGCCCATGGTCGCCCATGGTGACCACTCGAACTGTTCAGTAATCGAACTTTATCAAACCGAAAAATTTGCCTGAGAAATTGATTAATTTCGTTTTCCAACTCAATCAAACTTGTAATCGAACGTTCTAAACCAACACTCGAAGCAGACAAGGATTTTTAAAAGTCATTTAGTGTGCAAAGAGTCAGGAAAGAAGCAAAGAAATCACCTGGAAATCAGCAAAGAACCAAAAAAGAGTCAGATGAAATGAACAATAGGTTGAGTGTACAAACATGGAGGAATTCTGAATGTGCTGGTGTGAGTGACAGTAACAGTTAACCTAAAAGGGACGCTGTAAAGTTAAAAACTCTTTGACGAAGCATAATATTCACACTGTGATTGAGGAGGTTGATTAAATGGATTAAAGGATAAAGTTGTATGGCAAATTAGTCTTGTTCTTCCAGGTGTTCTTGTATACCTTTTCGCTCCAAAAAATACCCTACACTGATCCACTACAACCACTTCTGGAATGTACTTAGTCATAAGACACCCTAGAAAAAGGAAACATTCAGCAGAACATGCGCAATTTTCCCGTGTGACATCACATTTTTAATAGAATGCATGCAACTTCAACCATCGGACCTAACTGAACCCAATTAAAGTTCCATTGGGTTCAATTACTGAAACTTTTTTTTTGTGACAGTTCAATAAATTGTGTTCGATTACCGAACTTAATCGAACCGAATCATTAGACTAAGTTCGATTGAGTTTAAATAATAAAACGTTCAACTTAGTTTGGGTAGTTAAGCCGGGTACATCGTTATTGACACTTTAAAATAACGGTTACCAACATTTCTTAGTTAGGAGATGTAAAAAAATTATTGCTATTATCTGAATGAGGAAAAAATTCTTTCTGTCAGTTGCAGCTTTGGAATTTTAAGTGGGGGAGACAATGGCATTTAAAATTCAAGAAATCTCAAAGAATATAAACAAGACCACTAAAAACAAAAATTAAGCTTAAATACACATCTATTGACTAGCACCATATAAATTTTGTAACCTAATATTCAGCAAAGCTTCCATGTACATAAACACATCATCTAGTCTTTAATACCACCCATGATAAGCGATCAACACTGTACTAAGAATGATTGATGACCAACTTTAATAAAAGGACATAGATAATAAAGCGAAATAAATTTATAAGAACCTTTTCGCACTGAAATATAAGCTCAGCGAATTAGCAGCCAAAAAACATGGTATGATTTACTGCATGCATACACAGTACAAAATCAAGGAAACTTTACACAAAAGCCAGTTACCTCTACCGGGAAAGATAGGCTGCTCTGTAAAACACCGATCTGAACAACATCCTCCTCTATGTAATACTTCTTCCACACTTGCAATGTAAAATCATCGAAGACAGTCGATTCATTTCGGCCAACTATGACAAGATCGCGGTTAAAACCAGACACAACCAGTTTTCGGTACTTGTAATCGTTCAGAAAGGCCGCTAGTTCGATTTCGTTGTTGACATCCAACTGTCTAAGACGAGAAAAGAATTGCTCCTTATCTGTTGGATCAGCGAGTCGAAATGCGCTTGACAAATCGTTTTCCGCCATGTTCGTTGCTATATTATGGACCTGCTTCTAAATAAAAGGCGAGAAATAGTCCTTAATTCTTCTGATTTGTCGCAGTACCAACAGCTGAGCTGTTTATGACTTGTAAACCTCCCTTTTTATATCGTTTACGCTCCACATCGCACAAACAACAAACAACATACAGTTAAGTCGAGACTTGTGACTCGCTCCAAAACATCCGCCCCTTCCACCCCAGGGGCTACCCCAGGGTAAAAGACTTTTGACGCCTGCATTAAATCAGCGGTGTATGGAAGGAAATGGAGTAGGTACATCATGTAAGAGGCCGTAGTTCTCCTCTCTGCAAAGAATTTTATGCAAGTCAAGGTGAGTTTCGCTTTTCTGCAATGTACAGCTTTTAACCAGGATATCTTTTAATTTGGTCACAATTACAAGAGAGAACGGGTACACATGGATAATTAAATTTTGTGTTTTTAACCCAGCTGGAGCGGGGAAGGGCATATTGACATCTTCTCTTCGGTTCCCTTATAACAGAGGCCTCTTCTAGCAGTGAAAAGTTTGAAAGTTTGAATTTTTCCGGTAATTTTTGTGAATTATTTATCTCTATTACTGGGCAGCCCTTCATGGGGTAAAGCAGAAGTAAAAGGAAGGAATCCTTATCGAGCCTGAATTTCACTACACATACCCTCGAGCCCCACCAGAGACTACGTCTCGTGATGGAGTTTGCGACTCGAAGATATGTCTGAGCGTCAGGCTAAACCTTATCATCAAATCATCACAAGGCCTGACCAATACTTGGTTGAGCTGCTTGGTAAACCTTGTGACTATCTGATGAGGAGGATTACTGTGTATTAACCTACACAATTATATAGCAGTTGCTTAGCTTTTTTAGCTATGTGTCTTTTACTTACAATAGGCATACACAGTATTCGCATTACTAATTAAATAACTGCCACCTGCCACTTCCAAGCTTCCCCAATCCCTCCAGTTATAGGTCTGTCAACCTGTTAACAAATTTGTTGACACCTCCTTATAAGGCCCTGCTTTAAGTGTGATTTGCAGGTGTTAGTTGGCATAAGACAAACTTGAGACTCATGCCTAAGGTATGAAAGTTTGTAGATATAATTACATTGTTTTGTTTTGTTTTGTTTTGTTTTTGTTTTTGTTTTTGTTTTTTTTTATTTGTACTTACAGTTCAGTGAATATGGGTGAATCTGAATGGGAGAAAGAAAAGCCAAAATTATTGAAGATGATTCAGGAAAAACAGGACCAGCTTAATGACTTTGAGAAAGTAAGTTCAGTCATTTGACAAAAAAAAATAGCAACATTAGTTAATGAAGAACTGAATTCAACATGATATGAATCACATCTGCAGAACCAAATTTTGACAACTATGCCATAATATATTCCAGCTTATCAATTGGCCGCAGGTGCAGCGAACTTTTCTATACATAGAGCAATTAAACTCTGGAACTCATTGCCATGTGCGATCACTGCTACAGACAGCCTGCATTCTTTCAAAAAGAAACTTAGAGAATTTCCTTTTCGAATCATTTCTTGTTGGCCAGTTTTTATCTATCATTATAATTTTAACGTTTAGACATTTTACCTTTAAATGAATTATTTATATGCTTATGTAGACTGGGTCTGAAAAACCCCGATTGGGAGATTCAATAAAGGTCCACTTTACTTTACTTTAATATAACTTTTAACTTCAGGACAAAAGCAATGTAAAAAAAGTGAAAGAAAATGAAAAAAACGGCCATATTTGTTGTTTTATTACTACATGTAGCTTTGTATTCGGTAAATCATAGAATCCTAAACTGAGTCTGAGTTTTTGTTTTTCAGAGATTTTTCCCAGTTACCATTGATGATGAACGAGAGGCATTAAAGGTACTGAAGATAGTTTGTATTTAAAAGTTGTAAATCATGCAGAATATATATATTTTTTCAAAACTACAAGTTGCTGCATAATCACAAAACAGAGCCAGTGCCAGCTTTTTTCCCCTTCTGGAACTTTGGTCAGATCTTTAAAGCAAGATTATAACCGACCATTAAAGAATGAAAATTGTACTAATTCTTCAACTTTCAAATGAAACCTAAATGTCCAGGGGCAGATCAAGGGGGAGGGTGCAGGGGGTGGGCACCTCCCCTGAGATGACCTGCGGTTTTCTAATACAACTGGTATTGTGCCAAAAAAAAAACTATGTGGTTTATTGATGTTGAAGTAGAGCAAGAGACAAGTGCACCCCCTCTTAAAAAAAATCCTGGATCCACCCCTGATGTCTGTTGAAAATGTTGCTTAATTGTTCTCATTGTGCGTGTTGTGTGCTTGCAGGAACAGTGTTATTAAAAACTGCCATTGTGTGGCTTGCTTGCACCATATTCTTTGAATGTGCTAATCTTACAATGCTGGATTTGAAGGGCTCCAAATTTTTGCATGTGGGCTAAGTTATTCCAGAAAATATTTAGCTCCTACCCTCACCCATCCCCTCTAGGAATTCTGGTTAAGATGTTTTACTCTGTAACCAAACATCTGAGTTTTACCTACATGTAGGATGAAAAACTTATAAGCAAAATTTAAAGGTAACACAAGCCAAAGGCCCAAAGGGCCTAAGTTTATCCCCGTTTCCTTAGCATGAAGCATGCCTAGGATTATTGCTACTCCCCCCTAGATGGAATACGTCCATCACGGGGCTACCCCCAAACAGCATGTCGCTGGTACCCATTTATACACCTTGGTGAAGAGAGGATTGTTCCTTGTCTAAGAAAGCAACACTACAGGCAAGGCTTGAACCCCAGATCTCCAGATCTGGAGTTTGGGATTGTTAACTGCTCAACCACACATGCCTCCACAATGGCTTCCTGAATTTTTATGCATAAACATTAATTGATTGTGCTTTTTGTTTCGTTTTTCCTCTTCTTATAGGAGAAAAACCTTTTAAAGCATAGAGATTTACTTAAATCCAAGGTATGCAGAATAGTTTCTATTCACCAAAGGCAAAGTTTATTTTGTTGACTATTACAATGTATATGGATGGCAAGGTGATTCAAGCAAATGTTGTGTTCTCATTGGCTATTCGAGCAGGAAAGATGGGCCCTGCCTATCTTGCCCACCTGGAATCTCCTACTTTGGTGCTGTAAGAAAGTTCTCTTGGCCATGTAGTAATTCTTTATATTGACCAAGCTTGTTTAATCAAGAAGGCTGATTATTGTCCTTGTTGATTTTTGCATATTTATTGACCTCAACTTTGTCTCTGACCACAAAAAATGCAAAATTAAATAAAGAAAGAAAGAAAGAAAGAAAGAAGAACTGGACCAATGTTTTCAATGGCCATACCATTGTGAAATCATGCGTATTAATCATGACTTTTGTTTTGTTTTTTTTGTTGTTGTTGTTTTTTAGATTGACACAATAAAGCATGAAATTGAAATACTTCAGTTGAAGAAAAAGCTGAAAGTTAGTGTCATTCTATGTGTCTATGAACTCAAAATCTGCTTGCTACTTTGACTGAGACTACTTAGTTATAATTTCATCTCAGCTTTTCCAAAATTGTGGAACTCTAGTCCCTTTATAATAAGTTTATTATTGCAGTGAAGAACTGTTAATTATCTTCACATACTTTAAATCTACATCTGCAAACTGCCAGATGTACCAAAATATGACGGTAATTCAAAAAGGTTTCTGAAATGAAGCTTATTTTTATTTCGTGCATCCACTTATTATTATTTTTTTATTTTACTTTTTCAGGAGCTGGAGGAAGAAAATGCTTCTCTGAGCTTAAGCTCAAAAAATAGCTAACAGAAGCAATGTAATCACAGTGCTAACGTATATATTCAATCATTTATAGTAGTCCAGTCATTTTACGCGGGAAATAAGGTCAACCCGGAACAAATTCCCACAAAAGAAATCTCAACGGTTTTAGACTCAGAATTTATTTGTTAATAACATATCAAGAGTCCCCAAAAATCCCAGCATGGCAACATGTCAAAAAACTGGATTTTGTTGGAGCTGTTGACCGCTGCATCTTTCACTGCATGGAAACGAGGCTGATCATAAGTCGTCCGAATGCCTACTAAAATACCGCACAAATCATAACTCGTAAATATAAATCATTAATACAGCAACTTCATTTCAATTCAAATACATCGCCGCTAGCTAAGTTATTAGAAAGTAGAATTAAGCAGCCACATGATAAAAATTTTACATGTTTTGTATCGGCGCAAATTATCAGTCACATCATACAATGTACATCTTATTTATCAGGTATTATTTAATGTACTTGCTGGCACACATTTTAGTGTGTTAATGTATATTTTATTATATTTATTGTTAGATCGTGGGCTTACTTCAATTAGTACAAGATATATTTCCCTCGTCATGGTTTTAAAGAACCCGTGAGATAAGCAGTTTAAGTACAAGAATACTCAGGGGCACCCAACGTCAATTTTCGGAAAATATCCGTTCGGAAGACGATTTGAGATGTAGAATTTTCGGAACATTTTTTGTAAAATTTCTTGCTTGCCTGCCTCTCCTAGGATTTTTGAACATCTAGAACATGGTATAATTGCCCATTTTTAACGGATTTTTACCCTAAAAAGGTCACCTAGAATTTTTGGGAGCTTTTTTTCAGGCTGAGAGTTTCGAAAAGGTAAGATTGGATCCCTATAATTTTCGGATCAACAGACTTTCAGCTAGGAAATCCGAACAGATGAAAAGATTTTTAGGCGATAAAAATATGTCAATATCTACCGTTTAAATACTAAAATACGTTTAACAATGCTATGTTTAAGTGGTTTTGAACTATATTCTCGTTAGGTGCTCCTGAATACTGAGTAGAGCACAAACTCGCCTATGCACAGGCTCACTTGTGTCGCACGAATGAGCCTGCTCGTAAACTGCGAGCAGAGGTTTCTCTTTTACATGGCTTTAGCGTTTACAAAGTCGTTTGCGTGGCTTGTCTGTCGCGTAGTTGGTATAGACATGCCACGCGAATGACTTCGTACAGCCCTCGGGATCTATATGCATTAATAACGCGAGAAGGCATGCAAGAGAGGCTAAGCAAAAACTCATTATTGTTGTTTGTAAGTTCTTGAATTGTTACCCACCTTCCTCTTCCTTTTTCTCATACCTACTTCGGACCACACAAAAAAAAGGGTCCCTCCTATCGCGATATGACTCAGACTGACGTCACCTATTGATATTAGGGACCTTACAATCCGACATCAAACGGCGACTTCCATGGAAACGTCGTTGAAAAATAGACTTCGCATCCTTTCAATCTATTTCGCGATTATCCCAAGTCGCCCAGTTACTTGAAAGAAGGGAATTTATGTTGCAGCTGAAGAGAGGGGACTGCGCCCGAGTTCAGACAGAGATGGTAGAATTTTTCGCCATGCCGTTTCCGTTCTCAAGTAAACTTGAAATTTGGTCATTTCAAGTCGTAGTTTTACAGAGACGGCAAAGAAATTTACAAACAAAGCGTGATGCCAACCTGGGAACGAGGTTGGCGTGATGCATGTGCAGAGTTGTTATTGTGCTCATGAAACCTATTGCTTTTTTTGCCGTCGCCGTCGCCGTCGCCGTCGCCGTCGCCATCGCCATCGTAGTTTCGTAAGGTCCTTAGTAATGTGCAACCAGAAGCGCATTGGTTCTTGGTTGCGGTACTGCTTAATTCGCTCGAGGCAAATTTGATAGCAAAACAATGTTTTAAACAGTGATGTCTCCAGTAGCCTTCTTTTTCCCCGCTGTTTAAAATCCTGGCGCCAGCGGGATTTTTTGGAGTCGGCCTAATACCAGTTCGACTGAGATCTGGCACTATAAAGGCTTGACTGAAGCGGAAAACCGAAAATAAAAAAAATCTCCGGCGCATCCAGGGTGTTCCGACCAAAAAGGGAAACCAGTGTTGAAAACCTTGGGAGTACAACACGCTGGTTTGGAAACTAGAATTCGATTCAAGGAAAAGACTGCGAATCATTAAAACATGCACGGCCCCTTTTTTTCTTCATTTCCCTTCAGTTATATCATTTCTTCATTTTGGGCCATTTGGTGGAAGTAGACACAGAAAAAAAGACTGGGAGGAGATGTCTCATCCGCCTCGCTCGCACCCTTACCCTCTCTTACTCACAGGCTCGAGAGGTCCACTGCTTTGTTGACCAATGAATCCCAAGAGCTTTACGCTCAGCTAAATAAATTATTTGCTCAGACGGGCGGCTACATACCTTTAGCTGAGTCTGTAAGACACAGGAGAAGCTCTCTTCACTGGCCCTCATGTGCAACCACTGTCTAACAGACTGGCTACATTGCTCTTGAAGACCTTCACACCTTACTGTCTCTAGCAGCAAACCTAGCGCCAAATAATACTATTTATCCGAGAGAATGTAAAGAATTTCCCTCCCCAATTTTTTTTAGGGGAGAGGCGGCTCTAAACAGGCTAGAATAAACTCAGTAGCAACGACTAAATGTTACTTGCTGTACAATTTTCTTAGTTTCTATAGCCTTAGGCTATATATTCACTCTATACCGCATAGTTTTTCCGCGTGTCGACACGAAAAGCGATCCGGACAGTATACTCTTCGAACACCTATCCGATATCTGACTCAGTCTCCCCTTTAGAATTGAAATCACGCCGAAATCGCCATTCTTAGGGACCAGTCATAATTTAAGTTGGGGGGTGGAGGAGAAATTGTTTTTTATTCCAAATTTTTTCCAGACCCCCACTAATAGCAGCCATGTTTTTTAGATACCCCCCCCCCTTCAATCATGTTAAAAGATTTAAGGGCCCCCCTTTCTTATACATAATACCCAAATGGTAATAACAAATAACATTTTCTTTACTTTACCATTCTTACTCACTGTCACTTCCGAATTTGCCAACTAACAACAGAGAAGCACTTCACACTAAACTGGGAAAGAGTTTTCACCTAGCTATAGAGCCTCTCAAACAGCTTATAGAGCAAGGATATATCAGTGATTGTGTTATAATAATTATTGAGATAAGACAAGCCATCGAAAGGTGAGAGGCCGACAGGACCGCTTCAAGGAAGAAAGAAGATAATCAGCCAAAGCTTACTGCTTTTTATATGAGCAGTACATGCTCTAATAGTAAAAAACTTGACGGTGACACAGACAGTGAGTCCACATCAACCTCATCTACAAATAATGATTCGGATAGTGAGATTGCATAACATGACTTTATGCATGTAATCATTTGTTAAAATGCTGATGAAATTGTTTCAGTGTTACACAATAATGGATGTTGTGTTGTTGTACCTATTATTTGAGCATTAAATCTTTTTGTCAAAATGCTGATTAAATTGTTTTAGTATTATACAATATAGGACTTTGTGTAAAACTGAATCAAAATCAGGTCCCTTAATACTCAAACATCATGCTGCTCAGACGAGCTGCACGGTCTTAGCAACCAAAAAAACCCCTCGGTATCCAGCTGAGATAGCTGAGTAAAAGTCAGCTATCTCAGCTGGATACCCAGTAGCTTGCAACATTCCCTATTCCCTTAATCTCTGATCGTATTTCGCATCTAATATGATAGAGGCGTCAATTTTCACGCAATCATGTCATCATCCTGGGGCGACAAATAAAATTAATTAAAAATGCGGTATCAAACAAAATGTCCGGAAAAAAATAATTCAGTGCCTTCTAAAAAGAACATTTTAAAGTCTGCGGTCGATTTCATTGCCAACGTGTTATATATCCTAGAAGCGCTCAGGCATAATAACATCATGCCAGGACTTCTACCTGGGTGAACCAGAAAGGATATAGAACAACAGCCTAATTTTTTTTTTTCGGCTACGGGTCGAAACGCTAAACGTGTTATATATCCCAGAAGCGCTCAGGCATAATAACATCATGCCAGGACTTCTACCTGGGTGAACCAGAAAGGATATAGAACAACTGCCTAAATTTTTTTTTACGGCTACGGGTCGAAATGCTAAACATGTTATATATCCTAGAAGCGCTCAGGCATAATAATATGCCAGGACCTCTACCTGGATGAACCAGAAAGGATATAGAACAACTGCCAATTTTTTTTTTTACGGCTACGGGTCGAAATGCTAAACGTGTTATATATCCTAGAAGCGCTAAGGCATAATAATATGCCAGGACTTCTACCTGGATGAACCAGAAAGGATATAGAACAACTGCCTAATTTTTTTTACGGCTACGGGTTGAAATGCTAAACGTGTTATATATCCTAGAAACGCTCAGGCATAATAATAACATGCCAGGACTTCTACCTGGCTGAACCAGAAAGGATATAGAACAACTGCCTAAATTTTTTTTTACGGCTACGGGTTGAAATGGTAAACGTGTTATATATCCTAGAAGCGCTCAGGCATAACTATATCATGCCAGGACTTCTACCTGGATGAACCAGAAAGGATATAGAACAACAACTGCCTAAATTTTTTTTTACGGCTACGGGTCGAAATGCTAAACGTGTTATATTATCCTAGAAGCGCTCAGGCATAATAACATCATGCCAGGACTTCTACCTGGATGAACCAGAAAGGATATAGAACAACAGCCTAATTTCTTTTTTTTCGGCTACGGGTCGAAACGCTAAACGTGTTATATATCCCAGAAGCGCTCAGGCATAATAACATCATGCCAGGACTTCTACCTGGGTGAACCAGAAAGGATATAGAACAACTGCCTAAATTTTTTTTTACGGCTACGGGTCGAAATGCTAAACGTGTTATATATCCTAGAAGCGCTCAGGCATAATAATATGCCAGGACTTCTCCCTGGATGAACCAGAAAGGATATAGAACAACTGCCTAATTTTTTTTTACGGCTACGGGTTGAAATGCTAAACGTGTTGTATATCCTAGAAGCGCTCAGGCATAATAATAACATGCCAGGACTTCTACCTGGATGAACCAGAAAGGATATAGAACAACTGCCTAATTTTTTTTTTGCGGCTACGGGTTGAAATGCTAAACGTGTTATATATCCCAGAAGCGCTCAGGCATAATAACATCATGCCAGGACTTCTACCTGGGTGAACCAGAAAGGATATAGAACAACTGCCTAAATTTTTTTTTACGGCTACGGGTCGAAATGCTAAACGTGTTATATATCCTAGAAGCGCTCAGGCATAATAATATGCCAGGACTTCTACCTGGATGAACCAGAAAGGATATAGAACAACTGCCTAATTTTTTTTTACGGCTACGGGTTGAAATGCTAAACGTGTTGTATATCCTAGAAGCGCTCAGGCATAATAATAACATGCCAGGACTTCTACCTGGATGAACCAGAACGGATATAGAACAACTACCTTTTTTTCCTACGCGTCGAAGTTCTAAACGTGGTATTCTTAGAAGCGCTCAGGCTTAATAATATGCCAGGTTTCCAGCGACTGATTTTAGCTGATTTTGCGGTGCGCAAGAATGGATAATTTACCCGACTTGTAAACAGATATTTCCTTCAGCCGATTGTGTCTCATGCAGGAGAATGTCATGTCTGCGTTGTTTTGTTTCTACTGAAGTTTTATCAAAGAAAGCTTAATAGGGAGATCGCAATTTATACTCTTACGAACTATAAATTAGGGCTGACCTGGAAGACGCGTTGAATTGTGCCGCCATCCTTCAAAATATAATCTGGCTGCGTTTAGGGAGACAATTTCCTCTTCCATCCAGATTTACTTGGTATATGTGTTTGCGAGAATCTTCAGACAAAGAATTGGGTATACACTGATTCGAATGGCTTGGCGATACTAAGTGCTTAAGTCTACTTACCGATTACAACATGTTTTGGAAGTATTGAGAAGCGCGCCAAACGAGGTTGTCACAGCGTTCTCGAGTGAACACGGCGCGACCTGGATTGATAAAATTACTATTACATGCAGCTATCATGCCAGTGATTTCTCCTTTCGTCGCATAGTGAATAGTTTGTGAGCACATCCTCGACTCTCGAAACATTTGTCTTGCGCCGCTATAGAAGTTGCTTCTCCCGCGAACCATAGGTAGATTTCCCGCTTAACATAATGTTTGATAATTTATGCAAAAGTTGACCTCGTGAAAGTCAGCAGTGCATTAATCGGCTCAAAAATAAACAGACTTCCTACAGGGTTTGAACACGGTCTTAATTAAAGTACTTTACGAGCGCTGCGGTAGTTGACCGCAAAAGTGTTACTGTGATGGATACTCAACTGGATGATTACGTCACTTCATAGCAACCAGACGGTACGAATTTTTTAACTTCCGGAGCGCTGAGGCTCGTAGTGTGCTACTTAAAAGAAACTTGAAGACCCCCCAAAGGTCATCTTTTGGCATTTTAAGGCCCCCATATTCCATCCAAAAAAATTGAAGGCCCCCAATTTCTCCTCCACCCTCCAACTTAAATTATGACTGGTCCCTTATGTCTGAACAGAAGCTCTATCCGGTAAAGCTTTCGTGCCGGCGCAAAAGCTATTCGGTACAGTGTGAACATTGCCTTATAAGGGAGCTCAAGCAGTGACGACTAGATCTGCAAAACAGAAACTTTGCACATGCAGCAGGCTTTTTTGTACATTTCTTTGACGTTGACTTGAAAGTGCCTAATTTCACGGTTTGTGGAGGTCGACGTGAACACAAGACAACGACTTTCTTTTTCTTTTCCTCAACTCAACTTTAGAATTCATCTTTTAAAAAAAAATATTGGCCAGCTTTTGACGATTTGAACAGTTTACAGTATACAGTTTTAAAATTGCACCTTTACTTGCTTATTGCATCAGTATTCGACGGGTTTATTCAGACTGGCCATTAAACTATGCTTTCTGTTTTTTTCAAATGGGATTATTTCTCGGTGACCCAATTTACCTGGGTTAAATCTGGATCTTTAAAAAGTATATCAGAGGAAATCCTTTTTTTTTTTTTTTTTGAAATGGCTTATAATTAAAGCACTAACCTCGTTCGAGTGTCTTTTCACCCGAATTAATTAACGGTTATTGGATGAGGCTGAGTATGGTGCGAAGAATTATACAGATCGATGCAGAAGGCCGAGGTGGATAACACTCCGAGCACATCAAAAAATGATTTTGCAGATATTCCTTAAAACGTAGATGACATCCATCGAGCAACATTTTTGCATATAATGGACCTTATTCACGATACCCGCCATTTCTGCACTCGCTTAAGGACTGATGTGGTAAAAGCGAAGTCACGTGGTTTCTCAGGGGGCAAGCAAGTGATAACATTTGCCAATGCAAGAAATTGCGGTCTGGTTTGTATATTCTAAATAACAGAAAATGAAGAACTTTTCATCTTCAAGACGATAATGACAAATTAGGGCCATTTATACGAACTGTACCATTTATACGAGCATGTCTTATCTAAGACGAGAACAGCTCGTATAAATGGTTCGCGTTTTATTTCTGTTCTTGACTCGTTTTCATGTGAATGTTGCCCGTAGCAACGGCAACCAACAAGGCGCGAAAAGTTTCCCGTTCGCGTCTTATGTAAGACGCGAAGGTCATTTATACGAAGTTTTTCTCGTCTTAGCTAAGACGCGTCTTATCTAAGAACAGGTGTTGAGGTCTGTTCTAAAATAAGACGCGTCTTAGCTAAGTCGCGTCTTATTTTAGACGAAATGTGCCGTTTATACGTAAAGTTCGCGTCTTATTTAAGACGCGTCTTATGTAAATGGCCCTATTATGGGCGACATTGATTATTGTTACTTTCCCAGATGCAGTAGCGACCGTAAATGTCCTGACAGGAAGTTATGATGACGTAAAATTGTCGAAACTCGAACTGTGCATTTTGCATGACTATCGTTTTGAGAGAATAATCAATAAACCGGAACTCGACCGCGATTACTCGTAATGACACATTTCACCACTTGTTTGCCCCATGAAATGCCACGTGACATTGTCTTTATCCATCGACCATAAAGCGCTTGCAAAGATAGCGGTTATCGTGAATAAGGTCTACTGCATATCTCCCTTTCAGTGTTAGTCAGAAATTCGTCTATTTTGTCTCAATTTCGATAGCTGTGAACGTCATTTTTTTCTAGTTCACTCAGGTATACATGCAAACAGCTATGCTGCCGTACTGTAAAGCTCTGCATAACCGAGGTTGCTAGCAATATTCCATCTTCCAAATATGGTAAGCGCCGGCTTGTTATGAAGAATTAGCGGGGGATTGGAGCTAATCAGAAACCAGGGAAACGGCGAAATATTTTAAATGGATAGTAACATATTCGCATTACCTACAGTGCACATGAATATACAATGAGATTTGGAGGGGAGAAAGTGGTCGCCGTCCCCAGTTCCGAAAGATTCCTATGGTTAAAATTGGAATTAAACTACTTTAATATTTTTGTGTACAAGCAATAAAGAGTAAGTGGAAAATAAGGGGAAAACTTGGTCACGCGGTACACATTTACGTCTGCCGTTTGGCGTAAACATGAATCTTAATTTCTCTAATATGATGAAGACCGCATGCTCAACTAAATTGCAACAGCCAGTTATAGCTGAGGGCGGAAGCTTAAGCATTTTAACTGTTGATGTGTACAGGGGTTTCACTGATTTTAGATATTTCGTGAGCCGGCTTTTAGATGGCAAAAAATTAATTTACACCTCAGTGGAAAGAAACAGCCTGTGTGCACAGAGCTATAAAACTCGTAATTTTCCTTGAGGCAGTCCTAAACATTTGTTTCAAGATTTCTTTTGGTACAGAAATTTGACAATATATTCCGTGAAACCAAACAACGCAGAACTTGGTTATGAAACTTTACGCCACTTATGCAAATTAGGCTCCAGCGCCAACCTTTATATCCTAGCATACTTGAGGCAGCTGAAAAACTACAAATGAATGCATTTGGAATGTCTTTGCTCATTATTTTTGCTCTTCTAAATTCTCTTTCAGTTCGAACTACCGTTGCGGTTGTTATTGAACCGAAAAATACGACTGTATTTCGTTATCAGAACAGGCCCGTTTCTTACGGACATTTTGAACTGTACTTTTATAGCATCTTAGAGGCACAAAAACTTGCTTCATTCTTTGTGGAAAAACAATCTGAATGTCCATTCGAATGCGTCAATGATCTGAAATGTTATTCGTGCAACATAGCTGTTTATCCTGTTTCGAAAGGACACCTTTGCGAACTACTGACCACGGACAAGTACAGGGCAAAAGCGAAGTTTCACGCTAATGCCTCATTTCATCATTACAGTCTTTTGGTGAGTTCAGTTACCTGATTTCACGTAACACTATCGCTCTTTTTGTTATTTTTACTATGTAAGGCACACTTAAGTTCGATAATCTTTCGCTTCCTTGAAACAAAAATACAAATGATCAAAAAATAAATATTTGTCTTAAGTTCAAAACCCTGATTTTCAATATGATGTTAGTTCAATGCGAAAATAGTAAGGTGGCGTGAATCTGTATTGATTATTTTGTGGTACCGTTTTGTAAAATAAACTTGAAAAATGAAGAACTAAGCCGCCCATGGAATAACTGCAAAAACACTCATTTTATTTGTAATCGGCCACTCTGTTAAAAATCACTGAAGGGTTTTCCGACTATATCCGTTTTTTTTTTTCTGATTGTTCAATAACGTAAATGTCTTTGCTTAGGGCGATTTGTGTTGAAAAAAAAATGTCATGTTTATATTTTGATATGTTTAGTTTTTAGTGAAAATACTTGTTGTTTTCTTCGGCATTTTATCGACTCACAGCATGACTGAGCCTTAAGTAATTTTCTTTATTCATAGAAGCAGAAAGAAATCATGTTTATAATTGAGCTGATGGAGATCAACATCATATCTCGGACTAATTGCTTTGCCTTGGAGAGTCTGAGTGCTGTTTAAGCCATCATCCTTAAAACGGCCAAAGCGTTTAGTTCTTGGCGTAAGATTGGAAGACATTTTCGCCGTTGGTCTTGTAAAAAGTACTCCGCGAAAGACAACACTGTGTCATTTTGAAAGCGGCACCATCGATCGCTTTTTTAGCGTGGCTTTAGGTAAAGGATGTTGCAGAGTACATCGGCCTCATTCCAAGAATAAACTCGCCCGAAGTTATCGAGTTGAACTATTATCTTATTTAATTTGCAAACGTAAATTTGTGTACTTACTGATATCTCTTCCCATAAAACAGTATTTTTTAACCTGGTTGCTTTTCTTCCTAATTCAGACCCCTTGCAGACAAAAGCCTTGTGGGGACAATGGTGACTGTTTCCCTGACTTTCGCCTTAACACTTACAGCTGCAAATGTCATCCGGGTTTTGCTGGAATTTACTGTGAACGACGAGGTAACAAATGAGAACGTTTTATTGCCTTTATCAGGAAAGTTCAAAGCCATCAAAAACTAATACCAAATTCTTATTGAACTTTGGTGTTCAGCAAGTTTATTATTTTTTTATGTTATGTTATATTATGTTTTATTAAAAACTGAATCATTGGATAATGCAATTCTAGCATTTTGATTGGCTTAGCCGTTATGGTATATGAGCTAATATACCATGTTCTCCATATATGGTCGGTGTACGCGTCAGTTTAAAATTGGAAGCTAGCTGAGATTTTTTTTCGCGAAGGATAGAACGGCGCCCGAAGCAAATCGTTTTAATTCATTTCTTAGAATACTAGAAATGCAATTTCAACGAAAGAAAAAAGACAAAAACAAACAAAAAAGCCACAAGAGCTTGTTTGAAAGTTTGTCGAAAAACACATGAAAACACATGGAACTAAGGTACCTTGACCAGCTACGAAAGAAGACAACTGTTGTTTCTTCATGATCGCGAAGCCATTCGCCGATCGAGTCACTCGCAGATAGATAAGTGCAGCTTGTTTATCCGACATCAGGAATATAAATCACAAGTAACCAGCTACAAATACAGGCTATGCAGCCATTCACTAGAGCAATCGAGGCGGCAGTATAGCTTCTTTTCTCGTTCAGCAAAACCAGCTTGTGGCTTCAAACAACTTCATAACAAGCGACCGAGGTAATACCGGTAGTTTTCCTCCGTTGTTCTTACTTTTATAACAGCACCGAAAATCCAAATTCATAGTAATTTCGACGGCTGTCACCTAAAAATTCCTTTCCTTCACATTATCTGCCAGGTTTTTTTAGCTGTTCTGCTGTGTAAAATCCTAGAATCCCGATGAGTTTTTAAAAAACTAATGTTCATCGCTACAATGTTTTGATTTTTCATTCATGCAGTCTAGGCGAGTCCGTTCGCGCGTTGACAGTTTTGATAGACGTGTGACATGTCAATAGCGGAAGTCCCTTGTCTTTTCCGGTTTGTTCTAGTCGGGGCGATTCAACGAGATTTTGTGGGCGTTTTTAATAAAACAATTATTCCCCTCGGGCTTGTTGGATATGAAATGATTATAGCCAACTCGGCGCAATGCGCCTCGTTGGCTATCTATCATCTCATATCCAACGCGCCCTCGTGGAATAATTGTTAAATACTATGCAATGTCATGTCATGTCATGTCAATCGCCATTCTTGTAATATCATTTCACGTTGTGTTATGTTTTTCTAATTATTTATTTTTATTCTTATTTTTTAAAAAACCAGGGGGATGGGGGGGGAGGAAAGTAACTCTATTGTTTTCCACCTAAGTTTCTTGACCCACTCCGCCTGCCAGTATGACGTCACATAGTAACGGGCAAGAGCCTCGGGTCGCTTGTGCAAATTAGCAAGGGGTACGACAGTTATTTGGACGAGCGATGTTGAGGAAAAGCTAAGAAGCTAGCAAATATCGCTATATATCGCTTATTTGATCGAATGTGTGTCAGCTTTGGTGTTGCTATAATCTGCTTGTGTAAACCGTTTTGATATTTTGTGTCCGTGATTGTATCATGATTTTGTTAATTTTTTTCGCGGTCCGTGTTGCGGGAAGGCCATCTATTTCACGGGACCGGTAAGGTCATCAAAACTTAAATCTTTTTTTTGTCTAAAATAGGCAAGGTCTCCAGAATCGGAGGTTCCATTCGCAGATCACGCATGTTTATATTTCATCAAATGTTTTGCTAATTAAATGGGCCTAACTTTATATCATTCCTTTCGAGCGTGGGCCTCTGTTGATCCCCTAATTCTCCACCAAATTTAGTAAAGCTAGTTCGAACGATTATCTACATCGAGTCGGCCCGTTGAACCCGAAATAATGCAAAATAGCTTTGAGATACGCGCTCCAGCAAATTTTTCTCAAATGTATATTTGAGTTCATGATAAATACAGCTCCACCAGTTTCAAACAGCGCCAATGGCAGAGAAAAATTGTTTTGATATGACAAAATTATTTTTACAAATCATGTGTGTCAATGTGGTGTAGTGGTCAAGGAGTTACTTGCACCTGCAGATAAACCGGGTTCGACTCCCGGTGACGCTGTTTCTGTTCCTTCGTACCGTTTTTTTTTTCCCCGATCTTGTTTGGTCTCTTTTTCAACACTGTTTTTCCTTTTGGCCTTTTTTTCTTTATTCTTACTGCTGACCCTGCTGGTCATGCACTTGGATCAAAATTGATATTTTAACCTTAAGTGCGGAGTTTTATTTTGGAAAAGGATTTCAAAAGCTCTTGATCTGCATACTGGCCGAGCTTACGACCAGATAAAAACCATAAGCTGTCAAGACATGTCCCTCCTCTGAAACAGCTGAATTTTTTTCAATGTTAGTTGACATCAAGACAAAACACACAGTACACCACAAACTGTACTAATTTTCACCCAACACCCACCAGTGACCCACTGACGAAAGCTACATCGTCTTAATCATCAATATTGTAATAAACACTCTCGTACAGTTTGAATTCGACTTTTACTTCTCGATTCACTAGAACAATTACAGCAAAGAAAAAAGAAAATACAGAATTAATAAACGCGGACCGAAAGCCTTACAAAAACGATAACTTAAAGTACAACAAATGACTAAGAAAACGAGCAAAAATTACAGAAAAAACTATACTTACAAGATCTGTACGGCAACTCCGGATACAACTAAGCGACTGATTTACATGAACCAAAAATAAGACTTTATACTAAACTGGATTGAAAATAATGAACCTAACGAACTTACAAAAATTGACAATAACGATTACGTAACGCAACGCCGAGACTAGAATACAGAAAGAATACGCATATGAAAAAAAAGGCTAACAAAAGACTACTCCAAGCGCGATAACAAAGGCACTAATTAAACTAACTTTACGCAACGCAAAACATGAAAAAATAAAGAACAGGAAAAAACTCGCAGTCTCTCGTGGCTACATGCCCGCCCCAATGAACTATCCAAGTCTCTTTAAAGTTCATTAATAGGGTCACTACCTAGGCACGAGCGTAAGTCTGCGATCCTTAAATAGAATTCTTAGTAGTGATGAAATAAATTCCTTTTCACAGCTTCTGGAGAAAAAAAGGGTTGGTTTTTTTCTAAATTCAATGTGGCGCTCTCTGTCCTTCAAGGAAGCATAGCTTTGTTACTGGCCTTGTAAGAACGGTTAGACTCGTCTTAACCTTTGCTGATCTGACATATCCGTCTTTTCCGCGAAAGACATCAACAACTTTGCCTAACGGCTATTTTCCGCGATGGACATTTTCATCTGCAATCAATACTAGATCTCCGATCTCCAAGCTACGACGAGGCTTCATCCACTTTGCTCTTTCTTGTAGGGTTGGCAAATACTCCTTTAGCCAGCGCTTCCAGAATATGTCTGAGATGTACTGCACCTGTCGCCATCGGCGCTTGCTGTAACTATCTTCCTTGCCAAAGAACCCAACGGGCAAACTTGGATTCGATCTCAATAACAGCAGATGATTCGGCGTGAGAGGTTCTAGATCCTTAGGGTCGCTACTCACTGGTGTCAAAGGTCGGCTGTTCAAAATACCTGCAACTTCGGCCATGAGGGTTCGCAGCATTTCATCAGTGACGAGTTGTTGTCCCAGCAAGGCTTTAAGGATTATACGAATTGATCTAATGATCCTCTCCCACGCTCCACCCATATGTGATGCTCCTGGGGGATTAAATTTCCAGATGATCTTTTTCTGGCGGAGAAAGTCATAAATCCTTGTTTGATTCCATTCACTTAACGACTCTCGGAGCTCTTTCTCCCCTGCACGAAAGTTTGTACCATTGTCACTGATGATGGTAGTTGGACATCCCCTCAAACTGACAAATCTTCGCAAGGCGTTTATAAAGCCGTCGGTGTCTAGGGAATGTACAACTTCGATGTGGACGGCTCTAACAGCAAGGCAGGTGAAAAGGCAACCGTAACGTTTCGCGTTTGAACGTCCTTGGCGCACATAAATAGGACCAAAATAATCCACCCCCACATGAGTAAACGGCGGTTCTTCGGACATCAGTCTTTCCTTTGGAAGATCACCAATCAGCTGTTCCCCACGCACGGCTCCAAGTTTCTTGCACAGAAAACAGCAACTGATCACGCGACGCACAGCTGATCGTCCTTTAATAACCCAATACTGGTGGCGCAGGCTGGACAAAACGTACTCTTGACCCAGATGACCGGTTTTCTGATGATGCTGCGAGATGATTAAATCTGTCACGTGATCTCGGTAAGGCAGAATGATTGGATGCTTTGCATCGTAGTCGATTAGAGCGTTTTCCAGTCGTCCTCCAACTCTTAGAATTCCCATCTCGTCCATCAACGGATGAGGTTTGCGTATATGCCCAGCCATCTTTAGGTTCTTCAGCTCAGAAGTTGCCTGACGCGAGTGCTGTAATGAACCAATCCTTTGCAAGGCCTGGATGACTTCGGGAAATGAAACTCTCTGTGTGTGCTTGATAATCTCCTTTTCAGCTTCTTTCATTTCGTCTACCAACAGGACTCTTCTATTTACACTACTCTTAACTTTGGAACTGATTGGTCTTCGACTGTATCGCTCAATGAACCACGTTCTAAATCTATGTAACCAGGCCACTGCCCTCTTTAATCTTTCCCATGATGAATGGCGCTCGATCAAACTTGAAAGAACATCTCCACTTTGATGGCCAGACGATGATTGGCTGTTAGACTGAGCACGTTTGATCTCTGGATCGTCATCGGATAACTCCGGTTCTTGAAGTGTAGGATCACGAGGCCAAAATTCATCTCTCCTGGTTAGAAACTGAGGACCATTCAGCCACTTGCTGTTTGCACACATCTCTTCTACTGTGAGACCTCTACTAACTTCATCAGCCGGGTTGAGCTCGGAACTTATGTGTCTCCACTGGTGGGGGGCTGAGTTCTCGTGAATAACTGAGAGTCTGTTTGCTACAAACGTGTGAAATCTCTTCGACTGATTTCTGATGTACTGCAACACACAGGTGGA